CTCGCTGAGCCGCACGCCCCCTGGCGTGCGGCACTTTTTCTTCCCGCCGTGCGCCCCGAGGCGCGCGGCGGTTTTCTGCCCGCCGTGCGCCCCGAGGCGCGCGGCGGTTCTCTGCCCGCTGTGCGCCCCGAGGCGCGCGGCGGGCTTATGCCCCGTCGTTCACCGCGTCGCCCTCTGGTGGCGTCGCGACGGGCGACGGGGACCCGTCGCGACGGGCGACGGGGACCCGTCGCGGCGCACCGCCCCCGGCCCCGGCCCCGTCCCCGCCTGCGGCCCCGGCCCCGACGCCCCGCGTACGCCCCGGCCCCGTCCCCGCCTGCGGCCCCGGCCCCGACGCCCCGCGTACGCCCCGGCCCCGTCCCCGCCTGCGGCCCCGGCCCCGACGCCCCGCGTACGCCCCGGCCCCGTCCCCGCCTGCGGCCCCGGCCCCGACGCCCCGCGTGCGCCCCGGCCCCGGCCCCGGCCCCGCCTGCGGCCCCGGCCCCGGCCCCGGCCCCGCCTCCCCCCCCCCCCCCCCCCCCCCCCCCCCCCCCCCTCCCCCTCCTTCGGGAATCCCCTTTTCCCGTCGCCCGTCGCGGCTCCTTCGGGGGCCGCACGCGGCCCCCTCCGGTCGCCTCGACAGGCGACGGGAGGGGCGAGTATGGGGGTGGCGGGTGTGTGGTATCCCCTGCTCCTCCTCCTCCTCCGTCTCCCACTGCTGCAGCTGCCGCTGAGGGGGGTGGGTGTGTGGGAGCCGATGGAGTGGTGCTAGGGGGTGGTTGTGTGGGAGACTGGGGTTTAGGGTTTAAGGGGGGTGCGTGGGAGTGGAGCTAGCGGTGTAGCAGCGGGTGTGTGTCGGGGGGGGTGAGACCGTTTGGGGAAGCTGCATGGAGGTTGCCGTCGTGTCGCCAGCAGCACCTGTATTCCGGGGACTTCGTCCGGTAGCCCAGTCGTAGCCAGCTGTGCCAGCCGCCCGTGGGTCCGTTGCTCGTCTGCCGCTACTTTAGCCGCGGGGCCTGTTACTCCTGTAGTCCGGGCGCTTAGTCCGGTAGCCGCTGTGCCAGTCTGCCTCCTGTTGCCCGTGTGTCTTCAGCTTCAGCCGTCGCCTCCTATCTCCTCTCCTCTCACTCTCTCTCCTCCTCCTCACTTGCCCGTTGTGACTACCACTAGCTTTGCTCATAATTGTTAACTCTAAACTATTGCTTCTTGAACTTGTGCTCAGAATGTGTGGTGACATTGTGATCCACCCTGAGCTTGTCCTGCTTTGCTTGCTCTGCTGATTACACCCCACTTTGGCTATGGGGGTGTGTCAGAATATTATGCTCTAGCCTGTAGTGGGGTGCTCTATAGCGAGTACAACCCTTCTAGGGTTTGCTATTTGTATCCCCATTCTTGCTAGTGCAACCCCTCTTCTTCTTCTCTTCTTTCTTCTAAACTTTAACACTTCTTGCCCAGGCTCAACTCGGCCCATTCTACTGGCCTTTCGCCATGGACCATGCAACGGTGTTGCACTATCTTCTTTCGTCCTCGGCCCTGCCCAACAATGCCTCACCCTACTTGCTGTGGACGGGCAAGTTGGGTACCACTAAATTACTTCGTGTTTTCGGGTGCGTTGTTCAGTACCGTCCTCCTACCGCTCCGCTCGGGAAGTTCGACCAGCGTGCTAAGTGGGGACTGCATCTCGGCATTGAAAAACAATATCTTGCCTGGCGTATCATGGATTACCGCAGTCGTCTCCTTGTTCCTGCTCGCGACTGTATTTTCTACGAGAATCTGACGCTGCCCGTCTTCGAACAGCATCTTGCCATGCAGCACAACCCTGCCACGCTTTTCCACGGTGTTCGTTCGTTCGCTAGCGCCGACGCCGAACTTGCTGCCAGCGAAGAACCTGACCCCGACGGTGCACGTGAAGCTGTTCCCGACCCACCTGTCCCTGTCACGTCCTCCGGAATTCCGGAGTTTATTCCTCTTGCTGACGCGGCACCTGAGGATGTTCGCGATGTTCATCATACTTACCTCGTGGATGAACAGCGCCAACCAATGCCGGTGGTTTCCGATAGCAGCATCCGTGTCAACCCTGACGAAATTGGGGGGGCAAGTGGAGACCAGAATGATTCTGTCAATTTCGCAGGTCGCACCGACGATAATCCGCATTATCAGACAAATCCGCACACCTATCCGACAAATCCGCCGAGTGTCTGCAAGCTCAAAAAGTCACTGTACGGAATCAAACAAGCACCGCGACTGTGGCAGCAGCATTTGAACAGGAAGCTGACGGAGGTTGGGTTTCGACAACTGCCGCACGATCCCGGGATGTACCGGCTAGACGACAAGGGGAGCTATGCGTTGTTAGTGGCTTACGTGGACGACATCCTCTACGTCAGTTCGTCGACTTCGCTGGGTGATCGTATCGAAGCCGATCTGAAGAAATCGCTTGACTTAACCATTTCCACCAAAGTAACTCAATTTCTGGGGTTAAACATTTCGCGAACTTCTTCCGCTATTCATCTCACGGCTTCGAAGTATGCGGAGTCACTCGCTAAGCGTTTCAACATCTCCACGGATTTCGTTGCTACACCTTATCGGTCTACACTCACCGGGCACGTTCCCAACCTGAAAAATCTGTCAGCAGCTGGTCTTCAACTGTATCAGCAGCAGCTGGGATGTCTCATTTTCGCAGCAGTCACCTGTCACCCTGATCTTGCCTACGTCGCAAGTCACCTTGCGCAGTTTCTACGCTGCCCGAAAGAAGAATACTCTCTCGACTTACAGCGTGCGCTACGCTACTTCGTCTCTACACCAACAATCGGGTTGATTTTCAACGCTGGGAAGCCGACCGACAAAATGTACCTCAGCGGGTACGTTGACGCGGACCACGCTGGCGACACGTCAGATCGACGGTCACGCACGGGTTATATTTTTCGTCTCGAGCCGATTGGTCCGATCTCCTGGAATTCCTCGAAACAGGAACTCGTGTCACTTTCATCGGCTGAAGCAGAATTCATCGCCGCCTGTGCTGCAACTCGCGAAGGTCTGTACCTGCAGGAATTGCTTGACGAAGCAAAATTCGTCACGCCGAATCAGTTCACGTTGCAGTGCGACAACCAGAGTGCAATTACCATCGCCAACAAGCCTGGTTTTGTCAATCGCACGAAGCACATTTCGCTGCGTTACTTTTTCGTAAAAGACGCGATCGACAAGGGGAGAATCCGCCTTGTCTACTGCCCCACCAGCGACATGGCCGCTGATTCGCTTACTAAGAAGCTGACACGTCAGAAATTTCATCACTGCAACCAGCTCAGTGGCATTTCCGAGTCAACAGGGTGACTACACCGAACTCCTAGAAGTGAAGGGAAGTGTTGAGATAATATCGAGACTTGTGCACTTCAAGGAATTCGTGTAGTGTAGTTAGTACAGTAAAAGTACCGATAGGCTGACGTCAGCAAAGCGCTACGCGCTCTAGGATGACGTTAGCAGTAGCTGTAGGTATCGCGAATAGTCACGTACCGTTTCAGGCTAATAGGTACATTAAGCGAATAGGTACTTTATCCTAGTATATATTCTGTATGTTTGTCATTTCTTAATATACTTGATTTCAGAGATATTGATCCTGTTACAAGTCACTCATATAAAGACTTCCACTGCTACAGGAAGCTACTATCCTAAGACTACGATCCTATTCAGACAGCTTAAATTCTAACAGAAGGAACACTTTCAGTGGTTGGGGGCAATCCTTGCCTCACGCAACCTCCAACACAGGGTTGATGCCTTCCATGGTTCCATGCTTTTGCCCCGGGCAGCTGGCTTGCTGGGCAGAGTCAAGTCAGCTGTCCGTTGAGATATATCAATTGTTAAATCGAAAGCATATTTTGAGGTACTGACATTCAAATTTCAGTGTATTTTCATCTCATGGAGGTGAAATGCGCTAGGCCTATATTGCAGGGGGTGATGAGGCACGTAAGCCAGGCTTGAGCCATTTGGTTAGGCTCGTGGGCAGGTTCGGGCCTACAGACTAGGGGTGCTACTTTCCTGCTAATATTGGGTGGGTCCTTCGATGAGATTTTCCCAACATTCCTGCATCAACACCAATTACTTGTTAATTTCGTTAAGCGATGTAATGATGTTTTTGAATGTAAATACTTGTTTATTTTCCCAAAATGTGGCAGTAAATACGTTTTTGTTTCCCTAATACAATCATTCCTACAACATTTGCTCTTGTCTTTAGTGCGAGTGCGTGTAACTGTATCGTTTTGCCACCAAAGTTCTTCAACGTTTCGCAATTCAGTGCTGAACTGATCACGCATATGATCATCATAACATTTCGATTTGAGGTGACATAAACGCATCGTCCTAGCAGTACTGTTAACGTACTGAACAGGTCGAGTTATCACTGGTAAGATTAACGAATATGAAGGTGTATACCAGTCAGCATTTCTTTCACACCACCCACACCAACACAGGGTCGACTGACACAGTGACGCGCGAAGAAAATGGTGCAATTTGGAGCAATGAACACCTTCGCATTCACTGTTTCTCGAATCCAGGAACAAATCGCAGGTGACCATTAAATTCGCACATGCGGTGTTACCTGTTCTCGTGTGCATACCGAACTATCGGTGAGCGATCGGGCATTTCGCCAACCACACATTCATTCATTCATTCATTCATTACATTCGCAAGGCAGCAACCTCGCATCAATCAACTACTTCAGGTATGTTCTCCAGCAACTCCTACACTGATCTCTCGACACTACCACCGACCAAATAACTAGGAAGCAGCTTCGAGGTAGGTTTAGTTTCCAATCATTTTTGGGATGAGGTTATGAAACTAATCGTCTGGGCCTGTGCGAGATTCATTCGCAAGCAGGTGCCTTGGTGGCCCGGCAGCAGCAGAGGCCCACGTGGCTCGCACCTGGCCCTGGAGTGACGTGGTGCGCTTGAGCGACGCATGGGCAGACGTGCTACGTCTGGATGGGGTCGGAGGATGGCGCGGGGAAGGAAGGCACGCGCAGGGAGACCCGAATGACACTGTTGAATCGCGACAGTCGTGGGGCTGGAGCTGTGCCCTATAACGGGGATGGCTGTCAGCGGCGCAACGTCGAACGGGCAGCACGGGCGAAGAGGGTCGGGATGCCGCGACGGGGAGGAGGAGAGAAGGAGGTGCAGGAGGGGAGCAGCGACGGCATGGGAGAGGCGGTACCAGGGTGGGTGGTGTGGGGGCTGCGGAAGAGGCGGCGCGGATGGCGGGAAGGGATGATGACTGGAGTGAGGGAAGGATGGGGAAGAAGGGAAGTGAGTGAGGGGGATGGGGAGGAGAAAGGAGAGGAAGGGCAATGGAGGGGAGAGGAGGAGGAGGGGGGCATGTGGGAAAGGAGAGCAGGGAAGCAGGAGGCAGGCGTGCGTGTGGAGGGCACAGGGCGTGTCGGTGCGAGTGACGTGGAGGCCGAGGGCGGTGCGAGTGACGTGGAGGCCGAGGGCGGTGCGCATGGGCGCATGACAAGTGGAAGTGCGAGCAGCGGCGAGGGTCGAGCGGCGAGCAGCGAGGGGACAGGGATGAGCGGCGATGGGGAGGGAAGGGTAGCGTGGGCGAGTGAGAGTGGGAGCAGTGGGGGAGTGGCGGAGAGGGAGGCAGTGAGCGGCGTGGGTGGAGGCGACGAGTGGCCGCGCAGCACGGTGGGAGGGGACGCCCCCCACCTCTGCCAAGCAGCGGCGGGCCGGCGGGTGACGGCAGAGCAGGTGGTGAGTGGCTGTGAACCCGCGTGCTCTTTCCATGCCAGCCTGCCGTCCGCTGCTTGCGCTGGCCACGGCGGCACGACGCTGTTTGTCAAGGGGCCTGCTGGGAGGAGCGCGGTGGAGACGGGTACAAGAGCAGCAGAAGGGGAGGGAGTGACAATATCAGAAAGAGCGGACTGGGGGGCAAATGAAACGGAGAGGGGAGATAAGACAGTGTCTTTGAATATGCTTATAGGGAGGGGAACGCCGGAGAAGACGAGGAAAGAGGAAATCGGTGTGGGCGTGATGCTACCAGGGAAGAAGGATGGGTGGGCTGCTGACGGGGAGAGGGGCGATAAAGTGGTGTCTGTGAACGTGCTTATAGGGAGGGGAACGCTAGGAAGGGCTAGGAAGGACAGGGGAAGAGAGCGAGGGAGCATTAGTGGGAAGGAGTGGGAGGGTTCAGAGGGCAAGGGAGGCAAAGTAGTATCCATGAACGTGCTTGTAGGGCGGGGGATAGAGGAGAAAGGAAGGATGGAGGCGAGCACGTGGAAGGAGGGCACCCGCGCAGAGGGGGGCAACCAGCTGGATGGTGTGGGCTGCAATGGGGATACAGGCGGTGGGGACACAGGCGGTGGGGGCACAGGCGGTGAGGGCACAGGCGGTGAGGGCACAGGCGGTGAGGGCACAGGCGGTGAGGGCACAGGCGGTGAGGGCACAGGCGATGAGGGTAGGTGGGAAGGCAGCGAGGCGACGAGGCATGGGTGGCAGGATGGCGTGGGTGGTGGGTCCCTGGCGCGCACTGGCGCTGACACGTGTGGCGGAGGGGCCTTCCGGAGTGCGCTTGACATGCTGGGCGCGGGGCAGGGCGGGGAGGACGAGAGAGGGAGAGATGGGGATGGATTTAGAGGCAGTGAGGGGGAAAGGGATGGAGGGTGGGGTGGAAAGAGTGAGTGGAAGGAGGGAGAGGAGGGTGTGGGCGGAGATAGGGGAAGAGAGCAAGGCAGAGGAGTGGGCAGCGAGGGGGATGGAGAATGTGAGGCAGGAAGGGACATGGGGGACGAGGTGGTGGTGGTGCGCACGAGGGGCGAGGGGGAGATGGAAAGAGAAGGGTGCAGGGAGAGAGTCGAGGAGAGTGAGGTTGCTGTGCGAGAATGTGGAGGTTTGAGGTGGAAGAGGGAGGGGGAGACTGCAAGAGAAACCGCAGGGGGAGCAAGAGCAGCAGAGGGGGGAGCAGAAGGTGCGGAAACAGTGAGGCAGTGGGGGTATGCAGCGGAGCAGCGGCAAGCACGCGTGGGCACGAGAGCAGCAGGCAACGAGTCGCCAGCACCGCTGACAGCTGGCGGGTCTACAGCTGCACATGCGTTGGTGGGTGCATCCACACCAGCCGGCATGGCGCCCCTCCCCCCTCAGGGCCCGTCCATGACTGGCGGTGCTCCACCAGGCATCCCTCTGCACGCACACTCCACCGCCACCCACCCCACGCTGCCCCCTCGCCCTCCACCTCCTGCTGCTGCCTCCCCCCTTTCACTCCTCCGCCTGCCCCCCTTACCTCAGGCCCAGCCTCAGGCCGCCACTCGCCTGCAGGCTGCCAGAGTGCCGTGCACGGGCAGCCAGCCATCGCACCCTGCTGCCCCGCCCCCTCACTCCCACGCCGCGCCTCTGCTCTGCCCGCTTCCACCTCATGCTCCCACACCCCCACTCCTCACCCTTCCCACGCCGCGTCCGGATTGCACGCCCTCGATTACCACTTGGACTCCCCTGCCACCCCAACCCACGCTTCATGAGATTGCCACTTCTCCCTCCTCGCCACCGCAAGCCATGAAATCCTCCAAACATGTAGGCCTGGAGGGCACTGCCTCGTTTGGGCAGCGCCTGGTGGTGCTGGCTCTGCCTGCTCCTGTGCACGTGGGAGTTGATGTGAAGGGGGCGAGGAGGGGGAGGGTGGAGGGTGGCAGGGCGGTAGGAGCAGTAGTGGAAGAGGGAGAGAGGGCAGGGCGAGGTGAGAGGAGAGCGAGGGGTGAGAAGGCGGTGGGAGGAACAGTTGGAAGGAGAGGAAGGGAAGTGAGGGAGCGAGGGGGGTGGGAAGAGGTGCGAGTGCAGGTGCAGGAGAGGGTGGGGCAGGCAGAGGTCGAGGTGAGGAGAGGGAAGAGGCGTGCGGAGAAGGGGGTGGAGAGGGGGCGATGGGGAGGGGAGGGGTGGGCGATGAAGCGAGGGCGAGTGGCGCGAAGCAAGCCCGCCAAGGCGGGCGTGGCCAGTCGTGGGGACGGTGGGCACTCCATGCGGCCCGCTGCTGCCCCGCGCTCAGAAGGTGCTGCTGCCTCGTGGCCGGGGCTGCTCTGTGCTGGTGCCCGGCAAACAGGCAGCGTGGACGGCAGTGAGAAGGGCAATGAGGAGGAGAGTGAGGAGGGCCGTGAGGAGGAGGGTGAGGAGGGCAGTGAGGGTAGTGAGGACGGAGGTGAGGGGAGTGAGGAGGGCAGTGAGGGGAGTGAGGAGGGAAGTGGGGAGGACCGTGAAGAGGGAAGTGGGGAGAGTTCAGTTAGTGGGGAGGGCCCCCGAATAAGGAAAGTGTGGCGGCGGTCAGAGCAGGGCGGTGAGGCGGAGCAGGGAGGAAGGGCGGAGGGCGAGAGGCAGAGGGGTGTGGAGGCGGCGGTGAGGCGAGTGCGAGGAGAGCAGGCAGGGCGCAAGCACGGGCGCAGTGGGCGTGTGATGCTGAGCGATGCTGGTGGCAGGCGAGAGCAGCGACGGGTACACGGGGCGAGGGCAGGAGAGTGTGGGGCAGCATGGCTTGAGCAGGGCAGCAGCAGCAGCGATGCTTTGGGTGACAGCAGCAGTGGAGCCGCGAGTGCGAGAGCGAGTGAGAGCAGGAGTGTGAGTGAGGAGATGCAGTCTCCCCCACACAGCAAGTGCCGCAATGACAGCCTTGCTGCTGCACGTGCCGGGCTGGCATGGCAAAGCGGAACACGTTCCGAAAGAGGGGGAGAAGGAGGAGTGGAAGGGGTAGTGGAGGAGAAGCATGGGAGAGGCGCAGACGGGGGAGAGGATGAGCGGTCGGACCAAGGAGTGATGGCGGAGGTGAGTCTCTCCGCGTCATTGCACCATGTTGCACAGTGAACTGCTCATCTCAATTGCAGAGAGGTACATGCGATCAACATTCCCTCCCTCAGCAGAGAGGTACTGAAGCACACACCAATGCGCATCATGTTCTCCTCGTTCGTCCGGTGTGCCCCCATCAGCTGGCATCCATCAAGGCGCGCCTGGAAGGAGCGCTGCTCTCCAATGCAGCAGTGAGTCACGAGCCACCTGCTGCGAGTCGCGTGCCACCTGCTGTGAGACGCGTGCCACCTGCTGTGAGTCACCTGGCACCTGCTGTGAGTCACGAGCCACCTGCTGTGAGTCACGTGCCACCTGCTGTGAGTCACGAGCCACCTGCTGTGAGTCACGTGCCACCTGCTGTGAGTCACGTGCCACCTGCTGTGAGTCACGTGCCACCTGCTGTGAGTCACATGCCACCTGCTGTGAGTCACGTGCCACCTGCTGTGAGTCACGAGCCACCTGCTGTGAGTCACGTGCCACCTGCTGTGAGTCACGTGCCACCTGCTGTGAGTCACGTGCCACCTGCTGTGAGTCACATGCCACCTGCTGTGAGTCACGTGCCACCTGCTGTGAGTCACGTGCCACCTGCTGTGAGTCACGTGCCACCTGCTGTGAGTCACGTGCCACCTGCTGTGAGTCACGTGCCACCTGCTGTGAGTCACGTGCCACCTGCTGTGAGTCACGTGCCACCTGCTGTGAGTCACGTGCCACCTGCTGTGAGTCACGTGCCACCTCCTGCACCACCACCACCTATCACCATCCTCGTCATTTCACCTTGCCGTGCCGCTCATGTGATTTCCCCTGATTTGTTTGCCTCTTTCTCCGCACTTCATTTTCATCCTCCGTTTTTTTCAGTTATAGGAGACATAAGCTTGTCATTGTGACTCCGTCCCCCCTGTGCTGTCCATGGTGCAGGCAGGGCAAGCGCGCGTGCTGCTGTGGTACCTGGCCAGCCTCGACATCTCCCCGCCTCTCCTCCGCCACTCCGGCCTCCTCTCCTGCATCGCCCGCCTCGCATTCACCTCCCACCATTCCCACGTGCCCACGTCATCACCAAACCTCATGCCGTGCCACCCACCTGTTGCTGCCACCGCTGCTTCTGCGGCTGCTGCTGCGCCATGCCATGTGGGCGGGCAGAAGGCAGGCGAGGCAGTGCGGCAGGCGCAGCAGGGGGGCGAGCAGGTGGATGAGAGGGTGAGGCGGCTGCTGGCGGAGCGAGCAGAGGCGCTGTGCAGGCAGTGGCGTGGGGAGGGGTGGTGAGGGCACTGCTGCATGGGTGCAATGGGGGGGGGTGTCATTCATGAGCATGCATGTCTCTATGTATGCATGTATATGATGCATGTCTCTATGTATGCATGTATATGTATGCATGTCTCTATGTATGCATGTGTCTATGTATGCATGTCTCTATGTATGCATTGTCAGAATCTAAAGGAAGGAATGGCTGAAATAGAAAGCAGGTGGGTACAAGTAGGAAACCTAAAAGTGTTGTACCCTAAATGAACTACCCCACTACAGCCTAAACAGACTATAGCATATAAATTTGACACACCCCCATAGGCAAAGTGGGGGAAAACAAGAGGTCACAAGACCAGTCAAGAAAGGCAAAGCAAGCTCAGGGTGGATCACAAAGTCACCACACATTCTGAGCACAAGCAAACGGCCACAAGGCCAGTTCACATGCAGAGTTATATAAAGGAGAACAAGCAATACCGGTACAGTGATCACAACCTAACAAGTGTAAGCATGAAGGTATATGTATAGAGATCACAGTACAAGCAGAGTCAAGAAGTAAGCAAGTGAGGCACAGTAGGTACAAGGCCAAGAACAGAACAGAAACGCTGATGATCACAAGGCTGAAGTGCCTTGGTGAAAACATCAGCAGTGTTGGCCTGAGAGGCCACATAAGCAAGCAAAGCCGGCCACGCTGCTGCAACTCTCGAGCAAGGAAGTAGCGCAGAGCAATGTGCTTCGTTCTGTGCTCCAGTCTGTGCTCCTCACACAAGGCAAGCATTGCCTTGTTGTCGACGTACAGAACTGGAGGAGAACGAGGCGCCTCTTCCAAGTCGGTCAGCAGGTAGGTGAGCCAGCGTAACTCCTGTGCAGCCATGGCCCCAGCGTAGATCTCAGCCTCACAACTGGAGCTGAGAACAGAAGACAAGCAGGGTAGACCGCCAAGAGACAGAACCAGAGCCAAGGCTGAAGGTGTAACCCTGTGACGACCGCTGCGTAGCCAAGTCGTCAACCCAGGAAGCGTCTGCGTGACCACAGAGGACAACTCGAGCCCGTCCTCCAAGCACGAGCCCCGTGCCCGACGTACTGCACAAGTAGCGCAACACACTCTTCGCAGCATCCCAATGCACCTTTCGGTGCCTGGCGGGAGCCATGTAGCAAGCTAGAAGGCTGAGAGGGTATGCGAGGTCAGGTCGTGTGCAAGTCATCAGGTACATGAGGCAGCCCACAAGCTCTGGATACGGGCCACTCGGCTCTACGGACTCGTCCGAAAGTGGAGCTGAGAGCGAGTGACCGGTAGGCAGAGGAGAGGACTGTGGCGAGGTGTATGTGAAGCCGAAGCGCTGAAGGACCTGCTGCACCATGTGTGACTGAGTCAAGGTAATGGTGCGCTGTGCTCTGTCCCGGGTGATCCGCAAGCCAAGATAGCTTGTCAGTTCACCCAGGTCTGTGCACGTGTGTCTCTTCTGCAGCTCCAACTTCACGTGGGCGAGTGCCTCGGTGTCAGCAGCAGCGAAGACCAAGTCGTCTACGTACACAAGAACGTAGAACGGCGGCAGAGTGGCGTCGGTGCGTAGAAACAGCGAAGGGTCAGCAGTGGAAGGAGCAAAACCAAGAGCAGCAAGAGTCGTCCTGACTGTGTCGTGCCACTCACGGGGTGCCTGGCGGAGACCGTAGACTTGCCGCCGGAGGCTCCACTGGGTACCAGCAGGAAACGACCCAGTGAAGCCAGGTGGGTGGCGCAGCCAGATCTCCTCATGCAGGCTGCCCTGTAGGAAGGCTGTGCTGAAGTCAAGAGAGTGTAGCTCGTAGTCACGCTGAGCGGCGACGTGCAGTAGCACCCGAAGAGTGGTCATCTTTGGGGTAGGGGAGAAGGTATGGAAGAAGTCAACTCCCTGTCTCTGACTGAAGCCTCGTGCAACGTAACGCGCCTCGAAGACAGGCGGAGAACCCGGCGGCCGCTTCACCCTGAAAATCCACATGCCACTGACGATGTTCGCCCCAGGCGGGGGAACCTCGTCGACGTAGGTGCCTGTGGACTTCCAGGATGCCATCTCGGCATCCATGGCTGCCTGCCACTGAGAGGAGTAGGGACCCTCTATCGCCTCTGCGTAAGAGCGCGGGGTCGGGATGTCTGGTGCATCCGGGTCTCCCTCAGGGGCAAGCAGCATGGACACGAGATAAGGTACAGCAGCGGCAAAGCACTCAAACTCCTCCTGTCTGTCCTCAAGGACGTCCATGCCAAGAGCACACTCACCCCCGACCGACGGAGGATTGACAGACACAGACTCAGCAACAAGACTAGCGGCGTAGTCTAGACGACAGTGAGCAGCAAAGTTGACAAGCTCAGCTACTAAGGCAGACGCAGCAGTGGACTCAAAGGAAGGGTCAGTGACAACAGAAGCCAGGAGACGCGTGATAGTAGGACTAGCAGTACGAAGGGAGTCAGACTCCGGGTCAGTAAGTGCAGGAAGAGAGGACGCAGGAGGAGACGGCAGAGGGACACGCTGTGGAGTAGTGGAAGGACGCAGAGTCATAGAGTGAGTGCCGGGGACAGGAGGAGGACGCTGACGCGGAACACGACGACCAGTGCAAACAGCGCGAACAGGCGACTCAGGATGAGACTCAGGCGACGCAAGACGAGACTCAGGCGACGCAGGACGAGACTCAGGCTCACGACGCTCCGTAAGACCTCTAGTTTGTCCAGAGTAAGGAGAAGGACCAGGTAGTGGAGAGGCCGGCTGTAACTGCGACGGTGACTGGACAGGCGGTGGACTCAGTAATGGAGGAGGAGGACTAGGAGAAGGCGGGAGAGCAAGAACCTGCTGAAGGAGCGGAACGTAGTACGGCCGCGGCCACGCAGCGCCTCCAGAAACAGCAGAGACCGCACCTGTACCCTCAGCTCCCGGGTCTCCGACTACAACTCCCACAGCACCACCAGCTCCAGGACCTCGAACAGCTCCTGCTCTAGCAGCACCTCTAGTAGGAATAGCTCCAGCACCTACAGCTCCAACTCCTGCAGCACCACCAGCCCCAGCAGCTCCAGTACCTCCAGTACGAGCACCTCCGGGACCAGCTGCTCCAGCACCTCCAGTAGCTCCAACACCAGCAGGACCTCCAACAGTGACAGTACCTCCAGCACCAGCACCTCCAGGACCAGCGGCTCCAGCAGCTCCAGCACCAGCAGCACCTCCAGCAGATGCAGCACCAGCAGCACCTCCAGCAGCTCCAGCTCCAGACGCACCTCCAGCAGTAGGCCCAGTAGCTCCAGCAGCACAGCGACAATGCCGAGCATACCACTCACAAAGCTGCTGCGGAGAGAGGGGCTCACGCCGCGACGGGACACCCGGAGGACCACCAGACTCAGCACACGCAGGCTCAGCACCCCCAGGCTCAGCACCCCCAGACTCAGCACCCCCAGGCTCAGCACCCCCAGGCTCCACACGCTCAGGCTCAGCACCCCCAGGCTCCTCACCCTCACACTCAGCAACCCCAGGCTCAGCACCCCCAGGCCCCGCACCCGCAGGCTCAGCACCCCTAGCAGCACCAGAGTCGACAGCTACCTCGACAGGCTCGACAGGGTCTACCTGGGACACACCTGAGGGGGCAGGACCCTGGGGGGGGAGGGGGTCTACCGGAGGAGCACCTGGTGCTAGGAAGAGTGGCGGGGGGGGGAGAGGGGCAGTGCGGTAGGGAAAGAGACAGTAGTAAGATACCGACTCGTCAAACGTGACGTCCTGAGAGGACAGAACACGACGCGAGGTGGGGTGGTAAAACTGCCATCCAGGGGCGTCAGGGGGGAAGCCAAGGAAGACGCAGGGAACGGCACGGGAGGACAGCTTGTCCGCGGAAGCATCGCGGACAAAAGCTCGAGATCCCCAGACACGGAACACAGACGCATCGCCAACCTTCCCCGTACACCGCAGAGTAGGTGTGGTCTCCGGCAAGGAGACACGAGGCTGAAGGTTGATCTGATGCGCAGCGTACTGAACCGCGAACGGCCACAGAAAATGGGGAGCAGCCGCATGGATCATGGACGTACGAGCGATATCCATGACCATGCCAATGCGGCGCTCAGCAATCCCATTTTGCTGTGGAGAGGCCGGAAGCGTGAACGTCAGGCGGATACCCTCCGCACGACAGAAGGCCCTCAGAAGGTCGGAGGAAAACTCACCACCTCTGTCTGACTGCAGACGCAGAACAGGAAGGTCCGAGCCGAAACTCTCGCTGAGCTGGAGACAGGCACCGCGGATCCTGTCGATCAACACCTCAGAGACCTCACCCTTGCGGCGCAAGGGGAAGAGTGTGGTGTAACGCGAGTAGTCGTCAATGACCAGCAGGAAGTAACGCTCGTGACCCTGTCCACGGACGCGGGCTGGGCCCCACACGTCCATGTGAAGAGTCTGCAGGGGAGCCTCTGTCAGAGGGAACTCGGAGGAGTGAGGAGCGGCGCGCTGCCGGCCCTCGACACAAGGAACACAGGTAGGGGCAGGCCCCGGAGGAAGGGGAGGGAGGGACCGGGGGAGACCAGAGACAAGGGTACAGGAGGCCATACCTCGAAGACGAGGCAGGGAGGGGTGACCAAGGCGGTGGTGCCAAAGGAGAGTCTCGTGTGCCAGAGGACGACACGAGCAGGGGGCCGACGCTGGACCAGACCTGGACGCTGCAGAAAACACCTGACCAGACGCAGCTACCTGACCAAACGCAGTAACCGGAGGAGACGGAGTAGTCAGTGTGTAGAGAATCGACCCAGGCCGATGGGTGAACGTTGCCAGGTGGCGGCCCGTCCGAGAGCAAGTGCAGTGGGTCACATGCTGACCTCCAGGGGTGAACTGGTCAACCCACGCGTCCTGGAGGTCAGCTCCACTCACCAGGTTCGTAGAGAACGAGGGGAGGTGGAGTCTTGACGGCAAGCCGGACGGGGCCGCAGGACACGGTAGAACTGTGGAAGAGTGCGCAAGGACTAGGCCCCCAGAGGGGTCAGCCAGGGAGACTGCGACAGGCCGACTGAGTGGCGTGAGTGTGGT